ATTCCATCACCTCCACTAGCTTTGTAGTGATGCTTCCTAAGGCCCACCTGACTTTGCATTCCAGGATGTCTGGCTCTAGGTGAGTGATCAGACCATCATGGTTATCTGGGTTATGAAGGTCTTTTTTGTATAGTTCTCTGTGTATTCTTGCCACCTTTTAATATCTTCTGCTTCTGTTAGGTCCATACCATTTCTGTCCTTTATTGTGCTCATTTTTGCAATGAAATGTTCCCTTGGTATCTCTTAATTTTCTTGAAGAGATCTCTAGTCTTTCCCATTCTATTCTTTTCCTCTATTTCTTTCCATTGATCACTGAGGATTTGTTAGAAAACTCAAATGTAGCCTACTGATACTCAAGAAGTAGGCCCTGTGTTTCAAGATCAGTGCATTTTTATTCTAGGCACAATCCTATCCATTGATATCAATTTCAATAGAGCGAATTTTCTAAAGGCTTTTGGTTACTCCAAAACAGTGACCTTACTCTTTCCCTTTTGCTTATATGGAAAAAGACTTACAAGGGATATCATTGAAAAGAAAAATCAAGGTGAAAAAGCAAGGCAACTTATTAGACATAGGTTTTAGGATGAGGTTGACTACTCTGAATTTTCTATTTTCCATGTGTTGGATTTTTAACCATGTACAGTTCTTTTTCCTTTTTGTGAAAAATAAATAACAAAAGTGAACATAATCTAACAAACCTCTGGGAATTTATGCACCAGACATTACAGTGCAAAAGCCTGCACATATATGAATGTTTTTTATATGAATGTTTAATGTAGCATTGTTTTAACAAAAAATGCAAACAATCTGAATAAACACCAATAAGGGAAATAGTTGAAAAAATTATAATGCATTTATCCAACGATGGTTACAAAAAACTGGTTTGTAGGCGAAAGAATCTAGTTGGCTGGAGTATGTTAACAGTAGAATAATTTGTTAGAATACCGATGTTATTTGCTTCTGGACATTTCTCCCAATGGATTTGATTTTTCACTCAGTTCAGTTCAGTCACTCAGTTGTGTCCACCTCTTTGCAACCCCATGGACTTAGTTGTTTTATATGCAATTTAGTATTAAGCTTCTTATGCAAATTTAGGTATATATTTTTTCCTTCCTGTTGTTATAATTAAGCCAAAGTAAATAATAAACCTCACTGAATAGGTATCAATAATTTATCTTTAGATTATTAAAAAACTAAATTTAACTCTTTTCCTGTTGTATTTAGGTTGAATCCAGTTTAACTCAATCATTATCGCAATGTGGCTTTAGCCAGTGGAAGCAGTGGTGATGCTGAAAAATGGTAAGATTCTGATACACAGTTGACCCTTGGATAACAGGTTTGAATGGATTTTTTTTTCACTAGTAAATACTGCAGCAATACATCATCCATGGTTGGTTGATCCACAGATTCAGAATCTCACGATACAGAGGAACACTGGATATAGAGGGCTGACTTTGTTATACTCAGATGTTCAACTGTGTAGAATCAGCACTACTAAACCCTGTTGTGGTTCAAGGGTCAACGGTATTTAGAAGGGAGACTCGACAGGATTTGCTGATGAACTGGGTGCAAGATTTAAGACATGGAGTCAAACATTGCCACCAAGGATTTTGGCTGTAGGAGTTGGAAAGATAGAGCTGTCATCAACTGAGATGGGGAAAAATACAGAGAGATCTGAGAGTCAGACGGGGAATTCAGCTTTGATCATCTTAAATTTGCTATTTCTTTTAGTCACAGTTGGAAGAGTCTAGAGTTAATGAGGTCTAATGAGAGCTGTAAATTTGGGAGTCATCTAGCATAAGGTGGTATGTAAAGTCACAAGACTGGATGAGATCAGCAAGGAAGTGAAGTAGATTCAGAACAGGAGTAAGAATCGAGCCCTGTGGTTCTCTAATGTTAAGAAATCACAAAGAAAAGAACAAAGGTGAATGAGCCACAGCCAGTGAGTTAAAAAGGAAATGTCCCCTCAAATACCAATTAGAAATTCTTCTTCATCAACAGTTCACTAAAATTTGTACTCCTGTTTTACTCTGAAAGTCAAAAAATGTAGAAGTCACCACAAATTAAGGATCTGTGATCTTCCATTCATTAGAGTCAGTTAGTGTAGATTGTGTTCATATAACAAAGTTGTATATTGTTTCAATAATTTAAACAGATACGTACAAATGTGTATATATAGATATATGTATAAAAAAAAAAAAGGAATACAACATTTTGGAAGATATCCTGATGTTAAAGAATATCAATTTGAGCAGAAAACATTTTATCTGTGAGCCTGTACATAATGGGTTTTTCAGAGTTGTATTCCTTTTATAAAATAAATAACATGGTGGATAGATGATAAATAATAGAGGATATATTCATTTCCTAAGTCTGCAGTAACAAATTACTACAGGCTGGTACAGGCTGGGTAAGTAGCTTAATAGAAATGTATTCTCTCAGAATTCTGAAAATCAAGAAGGCCAGAACCTGGAATCAAGCAGGGCTGATTGAGGGCTTCTGGAGGGCCTGAGGGAGATGAGGTCATTCCATGCCTCCTTCCAAGCCCCTGGCGGAACCTCATAAACCGTAGGGTTCCTTGATGTGCATAACCCTCTGCCTCTGTCTTCACGTGACTTTCTCCTTGTGAGTTTCAAATGTATTCTTCTCCTATAAGGACACTAGTCTTCGGACCTAGGATCCATACGATATCCAGGAAGATCTTATCCTGAGATCCTTAAGCCAGTAAAGACCGTATCTGCAAATATGCTCACATCCACAGGCAGAGCACTGACTACCCAGACATATCACTGGAAGACATTTTTAAATCCACTACAGATGATCAAAAGGTCTGCAGAATCAGCAATAAGTTCCTGCCCAGTTCCTAAGGAATACAGGTAGAAGTTGTTGCCAAGTACTAACTTTGTGGTAAGGATAAACAAACAGCCCTAAAAAAATACCTACAAGTAAGAATAAATGTAAGCATTGTTTTCAAATTAACCTGGAGACCATATATATTTTAATCACTCATCTTTATTGATAAAATAGGTTCCTAGCAGTACATAGTCTCAGACATAAATTTAAGGGTTCTGCTTAAAAAACAAAAAAGTATGGGATAGAACACTGTTGCTATATAATAAAGTACATATTTTTAAAGACCAAGTTCTTAAAATAATATCCAAGTAAGAAGACCAAGAATAAATTAATTCAACCTATTTGTTTACAAAAATAATTATTTGTCAAGTAATGTTTTATAACAGAGCTGCCCCAACAAATTGCCTCAGACTTAATCTCAATTGTGTAGCTTATTTAAATCTGACTTGGGATAAAAACCATCAAATTACAGGATACTTTCCCAAAAACTAATAGAAAAGTTTAAAAATAAAATTTATTACTTGTTTATAAAATACCAATCAAGGCCTCTGAATGAGAAAATAAATCTGTTTAGTTTGGGCCCATTAGCCATTTTCTATTCAATCAGTCCCCTCAACTATTGCAAACTTAAGATAAAAAAATTCCGAAGTGAAAAGCAGTTTTGAATTTTACCATATATGAAATTATACATAAAAGTCACCATGTGATTATTACTTTAGCAAATTATACACTCCAAAGTAGAATGTTCTATCATGCATATTTTAATATATATTCAATATAAATGAGTACAGTATATTTAATAGTATTTGACATTCTTACCTTTTCTTCTGTAATCACCACAAAATATGAAAAATTTAGATTTTGACTGATGTCAGCACATTTCTATTTCTAGTGGCTTTTAAAAACTTATATATTGGACATATATTTTGTAAAAAATAAAAAAAGTACTTATAAATCCAGATTTCCCCCCTCCTCCCCTGGTACTCCCCAACCCTTTGACTGAAAGGTTACAAGAAATATCTTTTGCTTATGTTTATGAAAACCAGATGGAGCTTTAGACCTAGAAAAAAATTTTTAATTTTAATTTACCATTTCCGTATGTTAAGAGTAATTACTTTTAAAAAAAAGGTTCTGAGGCAGAGCAATTCCCAATTTACTGTGAAATTACCATATCTAGCTTGCTGTATCAAACATTTCAACTGTTAGCTAAATGAGCTACCTAATATCCTTAAAGATCAACCAGAGAAGAGAAAAATCTCATCTTCATTACTGATTTAGAACCAAAACTTATTCAAAGAAGTAGTTTAACCTACTAAATAGGTCTCTTATAAGCTCTTCTTTCTTAGAAAGTAGTATTCCTTCTCTTTCATTCCTGAAATGATATCTCATGTACTTAAGCAAGTCATGGACAAGTGTCAGCTCATTATTATGATAAATGAGCTCAAATTAAATTACCTCTTTTATTTATGGTGCATATAAAACATTCCTAGCAGCCTTTTAAACTGAACTTTATTTGACAAAAATTTAAATTAATGAGAAGGTAGACAGGCAATCATTAAAGCTGAAGTCTCATGGTACATAAGCTATTTGTTAACTTTCACCAAATAGGAAGAATATAATTTAGTAGGACAATTTTTCCATTCACAATACTGTGGCAAAATCTGTATATTAAAATTGGGATATTTTTTATGAATTCCACGACATTTGTTGGGAATATTCATGTTTATCTAAATGTCAACCAAAGCCAACAGCACTGCTGAAAGCTCGTTACGTGCAGTAGTTGCTGTGAAAATGTTTAATTCTGCCAATTACACTTAACTGGCAGAATTACAAAATTCTTGTAATTCAAATTTTGTAATTTTGTAATTATAAAAATTACAAAAAATTACAAAAATCTTGTTCACCAATTAACAAAGGCTTAATTTCTACTTTTCAATTATATTTTGGAGTAAAGTCTATGACCATTAACTATGTATTTTTTCATTGCTATCCTTTAAATGTCCTTGCCAGTGCACTGTACATATTATAGAAAAAACAAAACAAAGGGTAACTTGAGATGGATTTTGCTGTTAATTCATTCACTTAACAAGCAAGTCCCAGTGAGTGTGTTGGAACCTTGTAAGAGGTTCACAGACTTAAAAAGCTCTTCAGCTCTTCCTCAGACTGAGGTCACTACTGGTTACTAATGCTGACAAAGACGTACTTTCTGACACATCCTCTTTCCTAAGGTTCAAGAATGATTCTCGAGTTATTTGAAGAATCTCTCTCAAGCCTTTATTTTCTTGCTATAAGAAAGCAAACAAAAGAAGCAGTCAGCATGGTGGTTATAATAGTAAAAACATTATCTTAAGAAAAACCAAACATATGAAGGTATGATAAATAAAAAGCAAGTACTGTAATTGGCAGAAATGTATTAAATCAGTGGGTCCCCAACCTCCTTGCCACCAGGGACCAGTCTCATGGAAGACAATTTTTCCATAGGCTGGAGGCCAGGGGTGGGAGGAGGGAAGGAGTTGGTTTCAGGATGATTCAAGTGCATTACATTTATTGTGCCCTTTATTTCCATTATTATTACATCAGCTCCACCTCAGTTCATCAGGCAGTGGATCTTGGAGGTCAGGGAATCCTGTATTAAATGATACATGCCGCTGAAGCTGACAACTTGAATCCAGAGAACAGTTTTTTAAAGAGGTAGGAATTATGTGTTCAGTGTCTTCCACCACTGTGAAGGCTTTTTATTTATGCAGCTTTAATTACAGAACTTCAGAAACTGCCTTATTTTACAACACAATACATATAGATGAAGAGGAGCTTCCCTGGTGGCTCAGTGGTACAGAATCTGCCTGCAATGCAGGAAACGTGGGTTTTGATCCCTGGGTCGGGAAGATCCTCTGGAGTGGGAAATGGCAACCCACTCCAGTATTCTTGCCTGGAGAATTCCATGGATAGACGAGCCCGGTGGGCTACAGTCCATGGGGTCTCAAAAGCGTTGGACACAACCGAGCGACTAAACAACACAGATGAAGAAAATAACATCTAGATTTTTGTGTAAACTCAGAAAGTCTGTGAATAATACACTGGGGCTAACATCTCTTAGTACTTCAGTACTTTTATTATTTTCCATGATAGCACGGAATGCAGGGCAAGCCTGGTTTGCTTTCCTTGTGGGGATTTAACAGCAGCAGGCTGGCTGAATAGATAGTGGGTTTTTTTTTTTTTTTAGTTAGAGGCTAATTACTTCACAATATTGTAGTGGTTTTTGTCATACATTGACATGAATCAGCCATGGATTTACATGTATTCCCCATCCCGATCTCCCCTCCCACCTCCCTCTCGACCCGATCCCTTTGGCTCTTCCCAGTGCACCAGGTCCGAGCACTTGTCTCATGCATCCAACCTGGGCTGGTGATCTGTTTTACATAATATACATGTTTCGATGCTGTTCTCTTGAAACATCCCACCCTCGCCTTCTCCCACAGAGTCCAAAAGTCTGTTCTATACATCTGTGATAGTGGTGTTTTTTAAGAAGGTAAGTAAGCGACCAGATTGAGCACTGGTCAACAACTTTGCCCTTATCTTTTAGATTAGTTAACTGTAAGTCCATGGGGTCACCAAGAGTTGGACACGACTGAGCGACTGAACTACTGTAAGAAATTTTTAGACATTTAAAAATAACTATTATAATTTATTCTCTACAGCTTTGTCTTTGGTCTTACTTTCTAAGTTTCAATGGTATAAAGCAGGCATCAGCAAACTATGGCCGGGCTTGAGGCCTGTTATTGTAAATTAAACTGTACTGGAACACAGTTGAGTCCAATCTTATTTTGTGTGTTTATAGCTGCTTTTTTGTTTCAGTGGCAGAGCTGAGTACCTACAACACAGACTGCCTGGTTTTCAAAGCTGAAAAGATTTATTATCTGGCCTTTTACTAAGAAAGTTTGCTTGCCTTAGTTACAAAGAATGAGAGAAATTTGCACAGTTAGAAAAATCATTTTTGGTCCCCCATAACCAATTTCTCCACCATGATTTCAAAATGAAGGTCTTAAAATTATAAAGGTCACCTCTTCTACCCAATTTGAGCTATTCAACAATGACTTGTGCTTTTGCTACCACAAAATAAAGGACAGATGCAATAAAAGCTTTTATGTGAAGTGTTAGATTCTCAGTTGTGTCCAACTCTTTGCAACCCCGTGGACTGTAGCCCTCCAGGCTCCTCTGTCCATGGGATTTCCCAGGCAAGAACACTGGAGTGGGTTGCCATTCCCTTCTCCAGTGGATCTTCCGACCCAGGGACTGAACCCAGGTCTCCTGCATTGCAGGCGGATTCTTTACCATCTGAGCCATCAGGTGGTAAGAAAGTTTTTATATCCCTAGAAAAATACAAGTGGCCGAAGAATATTATTTGTGGATTAAAAAAAATTTTCCCTCTTCATTATTGTGATCTCTGATAAAAAAGAGATATTTTAACAAATTACTAAGCTGAAGAATTATATTCACCTAATAACAGAAGCAACACAGGATCCAAAAAAGTCAATTTTCTCAATGACTGTTATAAGTTTACTACTGATCTTAGACTCCTATATTACTATATAAATGGTCTTGCATTACATTCCCAAATAACCAGTACCCAGATTAGGAAAAAGAACATTACTAGCATCCCAGAAAGTATTTATTTTAAAATGAGGTATATTTTCTGGCATAAATCTTTGTACAAATAGTTTTCACCTACATGTGCAATTTAAAACTTACTTCAAGTTGAAATATCCGTTCCTGTTCCTTGCAACCCTGTTGCTCATCAATTTCAATGGCTTTCCTCATGACTGCTGCCATTTCAGTTATCTGGTCAACATGTGCTTGTAATTCCTAAAAAAAAAAAGGAGATGGAAGCTGTAAATCAATGAAACACTTAAAAAAAAACTTCTTATAAAATCTGCATTACTACTTGATATGAATGTTAATACCTTCACACTGCCATTTAACATAAATGTAATATATCAAACAGATATTTACAAGACTGTTGACTGACAATAAATGTCCTTGTGAAGTCAGATTTCTGTTAGGACTAGGATTAAGGATAAGCAGCACAATATATCTAAACCCACGAATAGAAAAAATACTCATTTCACAATCCTCTCACCACAAATGATCAGCAACATTTTCTTTTTTGTACCTTCGTGCCCCATGACCAAACTAATGGGAAACATATATATTCAATATCTATTCCTTCCTGAAGTCTTCATGATTTATAAATATATTCTATGGTATCCATCCTAAAAACTGATCTCAATTTAATCTAGAATCTTTTCCAGACTATAATCCGCACTGACAGCAGGACCTATACATTGCTTGTATTTCTCTATTATTTAATGTTAGGTATATAATAGATGATAAGTATTGAGTAAATAATAAGTACTGAATAAAATGAACAGAATTCTACTTTTATTATTCTTTTTGCACACGTATGGTGTGCAGGCACTATGCTAGGTGAGAGGAATATGAACATTTCTTAACAGAAATGTTCTCTGATTACAAAGAGCTTACAGTCAATGAAAGAGATGGACAAAAGGTTTTATAATTTCTCTGTTGTTTATAATCAGCAGGGACACAAGACTAATACTTTTTTAAATGAATAACTTCTGTAGACCATTGCTCACTGGCAACTGAGGGTTACTTTGTTATACTAAGGCCAAAACTTAAATATAAAACTTAATAGTTTCCCACGTAAACATTCAGTCTCTTAAACAGTTGTATATACTCTATTTGGAAAAAGGATTTGAACAAGACCCCTCAAAACCTACAACACTAGTAAACTGTGGAAGGAATATAAATATTCAAACAGACAACAAATAGGAATATTTTTAGTAAACCACACGTTTAATATCTTAGGTAACAAAAATACAGATCCTTATATTATTTTAATATAATCTATACAAAGCTAGTACACAGGAAGAAGGCAAAATAAACTACACTGTACAGTACAGTGCTATTTAAATTGAAATTACCTGAAGTCAAATACATTTTAAGAAATTAACAATTCAGCCCCTCAGTTGCACTGCTGACATTTAACAGCCACATGTGGCTGGTGGCTTCCAATTTGAATAGCACAGATAAAGAACATTTCCATCACTGCAGAAAGTTCTATTAGACAGCTCTGGATTAGACTATGATGGTAAGAATGATATCAAGACAAGCAACTGTCATGTCCTATAACAATTTAAAAAAAATAATTACAATCCCTCCTACCATAAAGGGAGCCTAACATTTAAAAGCAAGTCAAGTACAAGTAACTTCAGCAGCAAGTCAGATAAGGATAATGAGCAAAAATTTTGAATACCAACAGCTTTCTCAGTTTATGATTTGATGTCTTATGGCAACTACAAGGAAATGAATAATCATTTGCCTCTAAAACGGAAGAAAACAAGAAACTACTTTTTTCAGGACAGTCTGTTCTAACAAAACCATCATAAGAAAAAAAACCTCAATACAAACAGAAGGGTATTTTTACAGGCCTGGTTCCTGAATGATCCACTTATTACAGTAAGATCTTTAGGGAAGTGTCATAGATCTCTTAAAAGGCACAACAGGGCAAGACCTGTGCTTTCAAAATGCTTTAAAAGCAAGAAGTGCTAGCAACAAAATCTTTGCACTCTCTTAAAATTGCATTTGAGGGGAAAAAAGACAAAACACAACAGACACAATGGAGAGGTTGCTACTATACTTAATTGTAACACCTAAACAAAGGTAATTTTATTTTATTGTGAATGCAAATTGAAGGACTATAAACTATGGAAAATCTGAATTAAAACAGTTCATTTAATTGTTTGACTAAACAAAATTTTTACAAAGTCAGATTAAAATAACTGTCAAGAAAATGTCTTTGATGTCCAGAAAGAAGACAACCATTTGAAGCTTCCTAAAATTTTGCAGCTACAGTTAACTAGAATAACAAAATTAAAGGCTGGCCCAAAGAACCTTTAAAGCCTGCAATTACCTAACAGGCTATGTATAATGCAATACACAGCAGATTCATGACAGATTTAAAGTTTCTAACCTGAGTATTTTTGCAAGACTATCAAAAGCATAGTGTTTTTAAAAGCAATTGCATTTATTTGCTGATTTAATTTGGGAGAATTCAATGTAAAAGCACTTTTTAAATGCCCCTCCCCCCCCCACACCCCCAAAGTTGACTGTTTGTTTAGTGTACATTCTGATTTGCTTCCAAGTGCCTCCTCTCCAGTCCATGTTGAGGTGCTTCAAGGATGTGTCGAGATGCACCAAGGAAGAATCCTTCGGAGCTGTTACGATGCACCATGTCAATCTGTAGTACAGAGTCATTATAATGTTAATACGGACAATATCCGTAATTTAAAAATTGAATGAGTGTTAGTTCATGCGAGTTAGCCAACTGTTGGAAATGTTTGTTTTTTTAAGATTTCCAAAAAGGTAGTAGTTCAAAAATAATTTAAAAATGAGTGTTTGAATGAAAATGAGTTCTCCTCAAACTTTTTATTGGCTTTTAAATGTGTGCTCAAAAAACTTCTAGGTGAGGGCAGAATTCTGTTACAGTAGTCTCAACAGAGCCTCTTACTCCAAAATGCTGTTAAGTGTAACTCTGTGTTTTACCCAAAAATGTGTTATAAAATTATTTTTGTGTTTAGGTGTATCAGAGCATAGTACCTAAACATATCCTGGAAGCTCATACTTACAATGCAAGTTTCTGTGCTCACCCATTTCTGCTTGTCAAGCCCCCAAATTAATTCGAGGCTAGATTTAGATGGATTTGCTACCTTTCCTTGCCACTTTCCCAGATTCTCCTGGTGAGAACTAATCTTGCTTCCTCTAGTACTCCAGTAGTAATCCAGATCTCTATTTAGGATTCATCACATCCTACCTTATGTTAGATAATCATGTTTGTATCTGTATCTCCCAATGCACTGAAAGGTCCTATGGTAGAATAATAAAACTTATTCATTCATCTCATTATGATAACTAAGCCAGTGCCAGTGTTAATAAATACTTGTTTGAATCAAAGCGTCTCCTTTTTGGGAAAAATCAAAATCACAAACATTAATATGTATTAGTTAAAATTAATAACAAGTAACTGAACTGTTATTTCATGGAAGGCAAGAATCAGCACTTAGAAGAAGAATTTTATCTGCATAATGAAAAAGGATGGCTTACAGCTATCTTAAGACATGTTTAACTTGCTAATTAGTAAAACAGCTGTATTGAATGGTAAAATCTAATGTGTTTTAGAAAACATTTGCTTCTGACATAGCTGCTACCACGAGGGACTAGCTAGCTTCAGTATCTTATTCTTAAGCACTTGCTTGCCAGAGTATTCTCTGTAGATCTTAAAACATTTGTTAGGTTGTTAAACACAAGGGTCTTTTGGAACGTCTCAAGAACATACTTATTTTACCAATAATTTTAAGTCAGTTCATATTTGTACCTTAAAAAAAACCTCTAAAATTATATATTCAAAATAAAATGGTTTTTTTATAAAATGTTTTTATAATGATATTAACAATAGATACATTTTATACTCAAAAGATTGCCACTTAACTATCCATGGTTCCTTTTAGTTAGGAGATAAATAGCATAATTAGGAATTATTAAAACCACATTTGTTATTATTATACTATTTGACACAAGAGCTATTACTAACTTCCTTATTATGGAAAGTTGAATTTACATGTTAAAGCACTTTACTAGATATTTATTTTTAGTAGAATTAATAATAAAAAGTACCTAAAATCACCAAGATGGAATAAATATTTTAAAGAATCTAAAAAGTGTTTTAATAATTGAGAAAGATAAAAATATGTTATAACTGTCAATACTTCTTAAATAACACTCGTTATAACTAATAAAAAATAGTTAGGTCATCATTATCCAATAGAGATAATGGCCTCATAGTCACAATCTATTCTAATATTTTTCACACCAGCAGTTAAAATTCAGTTTAAAATAAAATGTAAATGGTAAAGGACTATTCTATCTTTTCACAGCAGCTGCTAGCAAATACAGGGATCACAACTAGTAAGATGAACAGCAGAAACAACATTGATTTATAGCCAGTTCAGCTCTGTCTCTAAAAATGATGTTGAGTGGTATGTGATGGAGGATGGGATGGGTGGGAAGGCAATATATATAGTATATTGTTTCTTTTCCTCCCCCCACCCCTTGGTGCTTCCATTAATAATCAGGAGTATCTATAGTCTGGATAAATTAGCCTCATTCAGAAGACAGTCTTAAAAACGAATCTAACTTTAGCTGTTTTCGGATTTTTAAAAAGGTTTTTGGGCATTTAATTTTCATTTTTGCAACATATACCAATATACAAGTTAGAAGAAATTTTTCTTTGAAGCAGGTAACATTATAATTTTGAATAAATTGAATTGAATAGACTTACCTTTATTTCCCAAATAATGTTTACTTTTTAATATATATTATAAGCTAGTACGAGGGAAGAATGGGAGTTTGAAGACTAAATCAAACAGAAAATGACACATAACATGAAAAAAATAAGGAAAAGAAGAAATCGTCAAAAAGAAGTAGTTGATATCATGTAAGGCACCTGTGATTTTTTAAAAATCTGAACACAATTGATTGTCCTTTTTTCAAATTATATTTACAGAATGGGATTACCTTAGTGTGTTGCTCTTTTAACTTCATTATTATTCCTGGATCATCTTTTTTGCTAGCCATTAGCAATCTAAACATTTGTTCTCGATACTTGCTCATTATAAGTTCCAAGGCAGATTGATGTTCTTCCAGGGATGTACGTAATTCTATCAAGAGTAACAGTATATTTTATTTAAACTTGAGTTTAAGATGCACAATGTATTCTCTTCCACATTACATTTTTTAAAAAGCAACTTATAAAGGGGGTATTTCATAAAGAAAACATGAGGTACAAAAATCTAGCCATATGGAAATAAAGGACACCAAATGGAGTCCTTTATTAGTTTTCAAAATAACCATTTTAAGCTCATTTTTTGAGAATCATTTTAACAGCTATTTACTGAACAACAACTGAGTGTCAGATCATGCTCTACATTAGGAATACCAAAAGGCCATAAAGTTCAGAGTCTAGTGGAGAAAACAAAACATAAATAATGATAACACAATGTGGTTAAGTGCAGAGTGGAGCTCTACCCTAATACATATAAAAAGTCTGTGAGGAAAAATTGGTGTAGGCTTCACAGAAGTATAGTAGTGAGGTGAATGTACATTCTTTCAGTTGAAAAATAAAGGACAGAGCATTCTAAGCAGGGAGGCATGAAAGTGGATGGTATGTTCGGGAACTTGTTCAGGGTGGCAAGAGCAAAGGTCTCATGGAGAAGGTAGGTATGGGAAGAATATGAAAAAGGCTCAGAGTCAACTTTGAAGGCCTCTGGATAAGGAAATAGTACACAGTGAGGGTTCTTAAGCAAAAGAACAACATGACCATACATCCATACATGTTTTTGTAAAATCAATCTGATGACTGTGCTGAAGATGGACTGGAGCGGAAAGGGACTGAAATCAAGGAGATCAATGAGGATACTTCAGGCCGGAGACTATAAACACCTAACTAGGGGCCAAAGCGGTGGGACTGCAGAAAATGAAACTGAGTTATTTCACAGGTAATAATTTCAGTGGTACAAATGGATATTGAAGGTGAGAGCCTAAGATGATTCCAAGTAAGGTAGACAGACATTCATATGTAGGATAGGATAAAGAGAGATATATGTAATTGAAGCATAAGGGACTAGAAAAAGTAACTTTAACTGGCTGTTTTCCCACTTAAAGAATATTAACTGATCCGAATTCAATAGTGCAGCTGGAGATCAAAGCTCACGTTTGATTCACAGTGATAAATAGCTTGCCTCTGTTCTCTTGTTGCAAGTCTCTGATTTGTCTGTTTTCTTGCTGGATTCCCATAACTAATGTGGACCGTGGCCGATGTCTTGCAACTTCATTAAGTTCTTGAATTTCTTCTTGATACTAATGAAAAAAATTTTTTTCAAGATGTAAGAGAATATATTTGAAAATATGTATCTTACATATGTGTGTATATGTGTGTACATTTCATAAAGAATTCTTACAGCTCGACAATAAAAACCCAATTAAAAAATGGGCAAACAACTAAGTTCTGAGGGTGCAATGGACGTCATGGTGTCTAAAGTTAACAGTACTATATTATATATTTGGAATTTGTCAAGAGAATACATCTTAAATATTCTCACCACATACAGTAATTACATACAGCAATTATGTGAGGTGACAGAAGTACTAACTAACCTCATGGTTAGTAGGTAATGGTCCCACAATATATACATGTGTATTGTATATCTTAAACTTACACAATGTTGTACATCAAGCATATCTCAATAAAGCTGAAAAAAATGGGCAAAGGATTTGAAGAGACATTTCTCTAAAGATGATACACAAATGGTCAATAAACACATGAAAGATACTTAACATCATTAGTCATTAAGGAAACACAGCTCAATATAACAAGGAGATAGCACGAGGATGACCTTAATCAAAAAGCAAGTAATAACGAGTTTAACAGAGGATGTGCAGAAATTGCTAATGCCTATATATTGTTGATGGGAATGTAAAATGACGTAGCTGTTTTGGAAAACAGACAGGCAGATCCTCAAAAAGTTAAACATAGAGCTATAAGACCGTTCTATTCTACAGCTAGGTATATACCCAAGAAAACTGAAAACAGATGTCCACGTAGAAATGTATACACAAGTATTCACAGCAGTATTATACATAACTGCCCCGGAAGAGAAACAATCCAAATGTTCATCAACCAATGAATAGAAAAACAAGGTGCGATACCCTTACAATGAATATTATTAATATTTAGCAATAAAAAGGAATGAAGTACTGATACATCCTAGAACAGATGAAATTTGAAAACTTTAGACAGTGATTATGGTTGCAGAGAACGTAAATATACTAAAGTTCAATCAACTGCACCCTTCGAAAGGGTAAATTGTAGGGGACTTCCTTGGTGGCCCAGTGGTTAAAACTCCACGCTTCCAGCAGATGTGGGTTCGTTTTGTGGTTGGAGAACTAAGATCCAGCAGGCCATGTGGTGCAGCCAAAAAAATTTTAAAACAGGGTAAATTTTATGGTATGGTTCTTAACTCTGCTTGTCAACTTCCTCCCCTTTTTTACAACTCAATACAAGATATGTATGTTCACTGGAATGCGTGAGTCAAGCTAGACAGGGAGGTATATAATGTGTTTAGGGCAGCAAAATATGGGCCTGGCTAAAAAGTTCAGGCTTTCCCATAAGAAGTCATGGAAAAACCCACATGAACTTTTCGGCTAATCCAATAGGTAAACTTGCTTCACTTTTTCAGCAGCTTTGTTAAAATCAGTACCCCCAGGTTGCTGCTTCCTTTTACAAAAGAGATGCGCTTCACGAGAGTAAGCTATAAATATATATTTTCCTACAGTGATTTCCATCATAGTTTCAGAGATTCTATAGTTCTCTTAAAGTTAAAATCAAAAGAGGGCTTAAAATAGTAGTTCAACTTCATAGCCCACTGGAAAGTTCTTATACATAATGGTAAGGATAACAAGAAGTGAAGCCCTTTTCATTTCTTCCTTAATTGGCAGCAGTAAGTGAAAAATAAGGTAGCAAGTATAAATGAATAGGGCTTCTCAAGTGGCTCAGTGGTAAAGAATCCACTTGCCAATGCAGGAAATGCAAGTTCAATTCCTGGGTTGGGAAGATCCCCTGGAGTAGGAAATGGCAACCCACTCCAGTATTCTCGCCTAGAAAATCCCATGGACAGAGGAGCCTGGTGGGTTATAGTCCATGGTGTCACAAAGAGTTGGACACAACTGAGCATGCACACACACACAAATGCAGTAACTGCAAAAGGTGAAAACAAGATATTGCTTTGCATATCTTCAAAAACTATTTTATTAAACAGCACCCCCAGAATATTCCTATAAAAATATTTCTACATTATAAAAATAGGAGACAGAACAAAATATGTGTCACTATTAGTAAAAGACACTATCTCGTCTTTATCAAATTATTTAGACCTAAAAAAATTCATGTATTTTCCAAACTCAAATCTGCATCACTGTAGGAAATTAAGTGATCAAATCTACAAGTTTTAGAAGATATATATATACACACATACAAGTCAGTTGACCTTGACAAAATTATATTTCAATCTGAAGTAAGCTAAAACATACAAGTCAAGCTACTTTTAAACTTCAGAAAACATTAAAAATAAAATACTAGTTAAGCAGAAGTTTATAATAAAAGTAACACGTAAATGTCAATGACTGCCTTTTAAAAATGTAATCAACAGGGGAAAAAAAAAAATCAAACCTGTTTCATAGCTTCTACTCGCTTGTTGAGAGCTGTGGTTTGCTCGATCAAAGATTCCGCAGCATCGTCATGATCTCTCAATCTTTCAACAAGGGCTTTAGCATCAGCAAGTGCCTTCTCAATGGTGCAACTCATTTCTAAAGGAATACATAAGATTAAAAATGAGAAACAGATTCAAAAGAAAACTGGCTATCAATCTTATTTTAGTTCCACTTTAACACACATTATGCTTAAGCTGCTTGTTACCAAATCATTCGCTGTCTCAGGATGAAAAACATCTAAGAACACCTGTGGTTTTGATTCTGTTCAGATGGAACAAACTTGAAAGTGAATTTATAATATTCAAAAAATTATACACAACATATATAAATATATATAAGTATATATTACATATATACACGTATGTGTTTATATATACACATTTATATATAGATAAAGTTTGAGAACAAAATCAGAATGTATTTAAAACACCCTGAATATACAGTGGGGACAAAAGTGTACATTCAATAAATACATTTGATGTTATATAGACTCCTCTATCCATAGGATTCTTCAGGCAAGAATACTGGAGTGGGTTGCCATTCCACTTCTCCACATTGAGAAGAAGCAAGGGATCTTCTCAACCCAGGGATTGAACCCATGTCTCCTGCGGCTCCCACACTGTAGGCGGATTCTTTAGTGCACTGAAGAACTGATGCTTTTGAACTGCAGTGGTGGAGAACACTCTTGACTTGGACTGCAAGGCGATCAAATCAGTCAATCCTGAATATTCATCACTGGAAGGACTGATGCTGAAGTTGAAACTCCAATACTTTGGCCACCTGATGGGAAGAATTGACTCACTGGAAAAGACCCTGATGCTGGGAAAGATTGAAGGCAGGAGGAGAAGGGGACGACAGAGGATGAGATGGTTGGATGGCATCACCGACTCGATGGACGTGAGTTTGAGCAAGCTCTGGGAGTTGGTGATAGACAGAGAAGCCTGGCATGCTGCAGTCCATCGGGTTGCAAAGAGTCGGACAAGACTGAGCGACTGAACTGAATGTTATATAGAAATTGCACTCTTCATGAGGGCAATCCCTATCTTGCCATTTGTGAAAAAAGGTCATTTTATTATTTTGTATTCTGTAGCCGGTGACTGTCAGGTCTCTGACCATATGACCCTTCCTAGCCTCTGCTTGGTCAGGTGACCTCAGACACCATCCACAAAGGTACACTACTAACCAGCCAAAGCAGCCTCTACATGTCATGCTATGCTAAAGGATTAACCTCCTTCTGGAGAAACTTCAGCTTCTCATATAAAAATTCTTTATAATTCTAACTCTCACACTTTCCTTAGTAAATGGCAAAGAAAGTTTTAACTTAGTACAACACTGGCCATTATGGGAAACTTTTGATATGTTAAAATCAATAACTAAAATGTATAAAAGGAGCTGAAAAACTAGGAGACAAAACAACACAGCCTATAGTTAGCTTCTTCAACTGATATGCTGAGAACTCAAAACAAAATTTTTATTTTAAAATAATCTCTCAAAAACTTTAACATTCTGACACTTATCACTCTTGAATTTTTCTCTTTCTATTGTTTTGCTAATATACAAGCCACCCTTTCTTTAAGATTTTCTCAAAAAATAAAATTACCTTGTAATGTTACTATGTCATAAGCCAGATATATAGCAATTAAATTAAGACTCAGGTGTAGAACAAAGTTAAGGGCTATAATTAAGGATTTTCACCAAGTTTAGGAAGACAGAATTTGCTACAGAATATAGGTATTTTTAAGATACTACCGCATGGGACTTGTTAGGTTAACTATTAGCCCCTCAGATACAGAAAAATGCAGCAAGAGATTTAAATAACCCAACTGTGTAACATTTTAAAAGAAAGAAAATACAACACATCACACCATTTTAGCAGGCTTTCATTAAGATTCTACCTAGCAAAGATTCAAAATTGCAAACTAAATAAAGATGAAAAAAAATTCAAACAGTATTCTTGGTTGTACTCAACAGCTGAAGCAGAGAGTATATTGTCCTGTTATTATAAACAGGTTCAAAGGTGAATAAAAAGATTTAATCAAAATAAAATGTAAAACTACCAATTTATAAAATGTTCACTTATATGACTAGACATTTCCAGAGAGCTTTAAGAATTAAGTTGGAAATTAATACAACTTCTGTCTCACTAGATAAAACAACCAAAAGATTTGTCTTATAAGATTTAGGAGATTTAGATAAGGGCACTTGAAAATACAACAGCAAAAGGGCCAGTAAAGGAACCAATGCTTCCTACAGGTTAAAACATGAAAGGACAGTCATTAAAATCTATCTAAGATGTCCTCCAACAAGGCCTTGCCCTTCTGGAATTACCTAAAATTAGAGCAAGGCAATAGTACAGCTTTCTTATTTATATGGGGGTCACTGTATCTCTATGAATGAGTGTTAGTTGCTCAGTTGTGTCTGACTCTTTGTGACCACACAGACTATAGCCCTCCAGGCTCCTCTGTCCATGGGATTCTCCAGGCAAGAATACCAGAGTGGGTATCCACTTTCTGACCCAGGGACTGAACCTGGGTCTCCTGCATTGCAGATTCTTTACCATCTGAGCCACCAGGGAAGCCCCTATATCTCCGTATCTCCCATCAATCCCACTAACTATAGAACATCAGATTTTTTAGAGTAAAATTACATTTAAAAACAGAAAAAAATGTATTACAGTAAAAATAACTGGTTGCAACAGATGGTGAAAGAAAAGAAAAAAGCAAGGTCTAGAGAAAGCTGTAAAAGATTTGAGAGAAGCTTATCTTGATTTAACAGAACTCAGGTATGAGGACCTTCACAGTCCATGGTCCCAACATGTAAATGACACTGTTGGGACTAATATCAGAAGAAACCTTGTTATGCTTTGTAATAACATGATATCTACAAACAATAGCTAGGATGTGTTTCCAAATAAAATGCACTAAAGTTCCCATACAGGATGAGGTGACAGGTGATCGAATACCTATACTGTGCGTAATTCAATAAGCTGCCCTCTCCCCAAAAGCCATGCTCTCAGAATTCTCTGGGCAAAGGAATCTGTAGATTAACTGAAACAGAGCCCTGAATCTAGATGCAATCTTTTCAGATAATCATAAATCTTTCTTTCTGAAATATGAAAAAGTTAAGCTGTGTTTGGGGTTACCAACTTGACAACATGTTAGACAGGGAGACATAGGGCTCCTCTGATGGCTCAGACGGTAAAGAATCTTACCTATCCCCAATTTTTTGCCTTTATCTTTAGTTCATTTGCTGTTTATTTGCATGTGTGGAAGATATCTAATTATATTTTCCTTTTCTCATGGAGACAACCAATTGTCCCATTTCCCATTTTTTGGACTGTATGTTCCTCCTCCACTGAAGTTTAATGCCACACCTGTCGTATGTTTTCTCAGCAAATGTATGGGTATGTTTCTGAGCTCTCTATTTCTGGATCTATTTATCAGTATGCTGCCTCAGCTGTTAGATTCCAACTGTTGGTAGCTTTCTGAACCTAAGGGATGCAACCTTATACTGAACCTTGCTCACTGGGAAAATGAATGTTATCTCCATTTTATCAGTGAGGAAACAGACTCAGGACTTGAACAGAAAGGAGCTGACAGCACCATGCAGCAAGGAAGGAGCTAAGCGAGTACCAGAAATAGAACTTCTGATCCCAGTCTAGAGGATGTTCAGCCAAGATGGATCTCCAGGGCTCTGCCTGCTTCTACCTATATAAAAACTACCGTGGTCTCCTGGGTGGAAAAACAAAGCAAATTCCTTGATGCTACTCCACCAAGGAGACTTCCAAAATATTATATATACTGCATTTCAAACCAGCAGTAGAAAATAAGTGGAAGTATAAATGAAGATGAAAAAATAACAAATTTCGAATATCTTCCCTCATAACCAATAGGAAGCCTAGCACTTATTTTAACCAGTCATCACAGTTAATCTGTAAGACTGTTAAAAACAAGAAAACAGGCCCCGCCCAAATGGAGTCACTTATGCTATGCCCCACATCACCAAACCAAGACTTAACTTAGTTTTGGCCTCTTCCAGAAATGGAACCTTAAACCACTCAATCAGGAATCACTGTGAGGTCATTTGCCTGACAGACCCCTGCCATCCCCTAAAGGAAAGTGACTTTGTCACATCCAACCTGCTTTTTGCTAGTGTAACTTCCTTTTTCCTTTTCCTATAAAAGTGTCTCATTTTGTACAGCTCCTTGGAGCTCCTTTCTGCTAGATGGGGTGCTGCCTGAATCATGAATTGTTGAACAAAGCCAAAAAGATTTTTAAAGTTCACTCAGTTGAATTTTGTTTTTTAACAAGACCAACTAGACTTCTTGAAACTATAATTAACATCCACTTAAAAAAAAATTCTCTAGATTGCATAATGAAATACTATCAAAATGAACTACATTTAAAATCTGTTTTGTAACTATAAAAACTTACTTATTCAGAGAAAGTGTTAGCTGCTCAGTCATGTCTGACTCTTTGTGACCCCATGGACTGCAGCCTGCCAGGCTCCTCTGTCCATGGGATTCTCCAGGCAAGAATACTGGAGGTGGTGGCCATTCCCTTCTCCAGGGGATCTTCCCAACCCAGGGATTGAACCTGGGTCTCCTGCATTGCAGGCAGATTTTTTACCAGCTGAGTCACCAGGAAAGCCCAATTCTATTCCAGGTAAGGAATTATAAAAAGCAGGTATTTAAAAGCCTACTTTTATTAGCATTTTAGATAAACAGTGACATAAAATTTCTAAGAATCTGCATACTTATTTCCTGTATGTGAAACCACAGAAAAGTTTAAAATATTTCATAACATGCATTTACTTTGCCACATTTTTGGAAACCACTGTGCTTTTCTCCCTCCCACAGCCCTCCCTTTTCGTTGGTAACTGCAGTGGGAGGAAGATTTTTTTTCCCATTCTCCGACAAGTTTTAAATTAAAAAAAAAAAAAACTCCAATTAAAAAAAAAGATATTCTCAATTTATCTATTTTTAAGTGTGTGTCTTAATTAGTTAATACTTAACTAGCGTTAAGTACTTACGCTAGTTACTTACTTACATTATCTTCTACAGGTAGGTTCAGATTACAGGTAAAATTTTTTTAA